TGTGAGCGTGTGCCTCATACTACAGTAACACACAGTGAGTGTACACACACTTGTGCAAAGTCAAAAGATACAGTGTGTGAGAAAAAAGTTATTTTCTGTTTGATAAGAACTTGTTTTTTAATGAATCAGTATTAGTTACTGTGATAATCAACAGCAGAGACTGTAGGGCTGCGTTGATTTGCTGTTTTTGTTTGCAGGCTGCACATTTCGGCCCCAATTTTGTGATTATATCACAATGTAGGCATGTATCAGTATGTCTATGAAATAATAATAATAATAAATTATATTATTGCTATTATTAAATAAAATATTTAATATTTAAGAAATATGTTTAGGAAATATAATATATTTTATTTTACAACCATTTTTATTTTTATTACAAATTTCCTAATAAATTAGTCTAAATTTCCTTATTTTCAAATGTTAAAACATTTACAGCTGCACGGCTTGGGGAAAAATCTAAATTTATTTTTTTCTGGTAAAAATTGTTTATAATATGATTTTTCTTTTTAAATGTAGATTTTTTTTTTCTTGTTTTCGGACTGCACATAATTTTGTGATTATGTATCAATATGACTATAAAATAATAACTATGATGATGATGATGATGATGATTAATACAAAATAAAACTATAAAAATTGCTTTAATATTTTTATTTTAATATTTCTCTGTTAAATAATCAAGTATTTAAGAAAAATAATATAATAATTTTATTTTACATTATTACATTACTAATATTTTATTTTGACAGGAAACTGCAGGAACCCCAAAAGCTTCTCTTCTTCCCTCTGAAACACGCAGCATATATATTTATTTAATGAAATCACTGCCTTTGGGTTGTATAATTGCACTAAGCCATATCACAGTTTTGGTTTATTGTATCCAGTGGAGTCAGTCTCCAAAGCTTTGTAACAGTATGCACGTGTGGCTTAAATGAAGCTCGTGACGTGACAGGCCTACAGTCAGCACTGGGTTTGCTTACAGTCTCAAAATAACCCTCAGAAATGTCAAATGTACAGCAGTGACCCGCAGCCTTCTGAAATGTTCTCATGAGCCGTGTGACTGTGTACTTGATCCTCTAACTCATCCCGAGCTTCAGAGGAAACACATGCCAGCGTTTGCCTGCGGTTATTAGCTTTCCTCTTCCTGTACCGAGAGCGCATTCGAATCCAGGAAGAAGAGACATTTGATTATGGCAACAAAACATTCAAACCAGCGGCCCATTAATATCTGAAAAACAAAAGCCTTTTCCATGTCTGTGGCGTTAATGCATTCGCTGGGCAGAGGACGAATTAAACGGATCCGTACGACTGCAGTGTCATGTTGGGTTACAGAAACACGTGAAGCTGAAATGTGATTTCCATCCGCGGCGCTCCAAATGTTGTAGTCTCTAATAAATATCACTTTATGAAATAAATAAGTGAAGGAACACTCTAGGCTTCAGTACAATAGTCTGCAGTTTTTCAGAACTAATTAAAAGAAAACAGGATTGTGTTCTGCGGCCGGTTCAGAGAGAGCGAGCGTCAGATAAATCTGCTGAGAACGAGTTCCTCGTCCAGTTCACAGTGAAACGACTGATCAGTGAACTACTAATTCTGTTCAGACACTTATATATATATTTCTCATAATAATTGCATTTTGGAAGAGTTTTTATTCCTAGTTGTTTGAATAACAAGTGTGTGTTTTCCTCCGAGAGACTCATTTTCTCAATACGCTCAGATGCGGAAATGAATTTGGCATGTCGTGAGAAACAGATGAGAATGATTTCAGACGCTGTGTCTGGCAGCTTTGGCTCAGAGATGATGGTCTCAGTGTACTGTGTTATATAGCGCTTTATACAATACAGATTGTGTCAAAGCAGCTTTACAGAGTCAAACAGGAAAAACGTGTGCTGGTAATGCAAGAGGACGATATAAAACAGTCAGTTTATCAGTTAAAGTTGTTGATTCAGTGATGTCATCGTCCAGCTCAGTTCAGTCCTCCTCCAATAGTGTTTGTGCAATCAAGTCAACAATGTTGCCAGAAACTAAGCATCCCCAACTAAGCAAGCCAGAGGCGACAGCGGCAAGGAACCAAAACTCCATCGGTGACAGAATGGAGAAAAAACCTTGGGAGAAACCAGGCTCAGTCGGGGGCCAGTTCTCCTCTGGCCAGACCAAACCAGCATGATGTGGTTTAATTCCAGGCTGCAGCACAGGTCAGATTGAGCAGAGGACTCGTCTGGTTCTCGTGGTCTTGTGTCGATGGTTGACGAGGTCTTCACAGGGGATCTGTCTCAGGGGATTGTCTAGTTGACATGGTCTCCGCTGACATTCAGGGCTGTGTTCAGATATGACTGTATATATTTACACATGGACACCTAAATAAATGGACTGAAAACAGTGATTCTCAGCGCTTCAGTCAGAGTGTGTGTGAGGGATCATCATATGACAGCTGTCTGTGTGAATGTGGATGGTGTTTGATGTATTCTTAATGAACTGTATTGAAGAAGGACACTGTACTGACTCTCTGTATGTCTGTCTGTCTGTCTGTCTGCAGAATACTGACGATCTGTTAGTAGCGTCAGCAGAATGTCCGAGTGATGATGAAGATCTCGAGGAGTGTGAGCCTGGAAACGGTGAGTCAGTCTTACTGTCTATGTGTGTTTTTACGTGCTGTAAACACGCACACACTCACAAAATCCCATCCCATGTGCAGCTGTGATTGGACAAAATATGCCTCGATTCAAGTTGACGGTCACAGATTGAACCTAAATTAAGTTATTGATGAATGTATATTGTACCATCAAATATGTCTTTGATCATTTTCAGCTCTGATAGTAGAGTTCAATGTTTCTGTCTGATGAATGCATATAAATTAAGGAAACTAAGTGAGATGATTTACTTGAATTCCCATCATGCCGTTGTTAAACTCAAACTCCTTTCAATGTATATTCTGGCAACGAGTTGTACTATCTTGCGCAGTTTGCGTCTGAAGTAAGTGTGTGTAGTGTTAGGGACAGGGCTGGACTGGTAATCGGGCATACTGGGCATTTTCCCGGTGGGCCGGCAGAATGTTTTTTGTATTTTTTTGCCGAGGACCATCACGCAGGGAGGGACTCGCAGCGGAGGCAGGCATCTAACCTATCCTGATGTGTGTGCGAGTGTAGAATACGAAAACACTTTTTTAATAAAACGTCAAGTCTAGTCAAGTGTGTTCATAGAGGTTTCCATGAGCCAATGCGAATAAAGCTAGATTTAAATGAAAAAAGACACGATATTGTCGGACCTGATGTTTTATTCTTAGCCAAAACAAGATGTGATATGAGTGTAATACATACACTACCAGTCAACATTTTTTGAACAGTAAGAAAGATCCAAAGATCAGCATTATTAAATATCTTACTGTTCAAAAACTTTTGACTGGTAGTGTATATCATATATATATATATATATATATATATAGTGGTGGTGGGCCGCCTGGGCCAAAAAATGCCAGGGCCGATTTTTTTGTCCCAGTCCAGCCCTGGTTAGGGATGTTAGCTGATTGTGAATGGAGTGAATGGATCAGTTGTCTCTGTCTGTATTTGGGCTGATGTCTTCTGTCAGCTAATATTGATGAGGTTTAGCCATGTACTGGAGCAGTTATTGAGATAACGAGGTGGTTTTATCATCAGGTCAGTGTGTTTGTGGTCAGATCTCATGACACATCTGTCTGTCTGTATATCTATCTATCTATCTATCTATCCACACTAGCAACGTCGTAGTTGCCAGAATCCAGCTATCCACTGCCTAGCAACCATTTATAACACCTTAGCAACAGGCCAGCATGTGCCTAGCAACCACCAAGAATGCTTCAGTAACTGCTTAGCAACCACTCAGAACACCCTGGCAACCTCCAGGGCACACCATAGCAACCATCTGAGGCTGGGCAGCAGTTCATCTGTGTTTTTGAGAGCAAATATTTATGTTGCACACTGGAGCAGACAAAAGGACAAAGAGAGCAAACAAACTGTGTGACTCACCGTCAAATGCAAGACAACAAAGTGAAAGAAAACAAGAAAGATGAAGGTACAAATCAAAAACACAGAGAGATAAAGAGAGAGAGAGAGAGAGAGAGAGGGAGGCTCTGACTGGCATTGGAATGTTCCTCACGTTAGCTGGTATCGTAGGAGAGACGGACGAGCCACAGATGAGGCAGAGAGAGGGACGGATGGATGGATGGATGGATGGACGGATGGAAATCTCCGCATTGCGTTTCTGCTCCAGGGTCCCAGAGAAACGTCTCATGAATGTCCCTCACCTCAGCTGATCCCGATGGGCTAATTAATCTCTGCCCTCGTTAGATGCTCCTAATTACATTATTCACTGGACCCTGCCGACCATTCTCTAGTTTATAATGAGCTGAAACTGCAATCGCACAACAGTCTGACCATTACACAAAAACGCACAACAGTGTGACGTTACACACAACTGTCTGATCATTACACACAAACGCACAACAGTCTGACCGTTACACACAAACGCACAACAGTCTGACTTTACACAATCGCACAACAGTCTGACCATTACACACAAACGCACAACAGTCTGACCATTACATAAAAATGCACAACAGTGTGACGTTACACAATAGCACAACAGTCTGACGTTACACACAAATGCACAATAGTCTGACCATTACACACAAATGCACAACAGTCTGATCGTCACACGCAAAGTGCTCTAACTTAGTGATTGTTATCGGGATGTGAAGAGAACCAGCATAACAACTAGCAATATCTAAGAACAAGAGGCAGGTTTTGATTTATAGCTTTATAAGTTGGTTTCATTGGCTTTATAGAAACAATAAAGCAGCTCTGTGTCTTTTTGTATATAATCAAGATAATCTTAATTTATTAGTTGCAGAAGCAAGTCTAACAAAACAAACATGAATATTTCAGCACGCTGCATATGAAATGTGTGGTAAGGTTTGATGTGAAACGAGTACATTTGTAGAGGTTAATCTCAGTCTCTCTGAGCGTCTGGACTCCCAGTGTCTTCTGTCGTCAATTATTAAGCGTCGAGTCGGTCTCACCGCCGCCATCGCTCTAGTGTTCTGAAAAAATCAAAATCAAATTAGCTAAGAAAGAGACCACTACAATCTCATCCTTCCCCATGGCCCGAGCACCCGCGGCAATAAACAGTCAGATTTTCAGCTTTCATTACTGCGTGTGGATGTAAACAGGCTCCTGAATGTCCAAAATGAGCCACACCTTTACTGGACATAGCAGTTTCTTTCATTGAACTGATCGCAATGCTGCTCCAGAACTCGAGTAACATTTACACTGCAAAACATTTTCTTCCTCAGTATGTTTGTCTTGTTTTCCAGTACAAATATCTAAACATTCTCAAATCAAGATAGAATTACTTTAGAAGCAAAATGACGTTAGATAACAAGTCTTGTTTTCTGAAAAGAATATCAAAATTAAATGAGCTTACGCTTAAAACAAGAAAAAATGTCTGCCAATGGGGTCTGAAAAATCTACTTTTTTCCTTTGAATTTTGAATTTTTTTTTTCTTCTTTAAAGCATAAAATCACTTAATTTTGATACATTTTTTCAGAAATCGAGACTTACTATCTTAATTTTGCTTCTCAAGAAAATGTAACTTGATTTAAGGAAGTTTAGATTTTGTCTGGCTTAAATTGCGTCTCTCGTGATGGATTTGCAACAGACAGACGTAAGTGTCATTTGTTGCAGTTTAAAGAATAAAAGCAAAGGAGTGAACCATGAATAAAGCTGCAGTCATTACTCTAGTTACTGATGGTGCTCACGGTGGCACTTGCTCACTCCAGACAATCATCGTGAAACAAGTGCGCTGCGCTGAGGATGTGAGATATTACTTTGTACACATGAGTCATGATGCTATTCTGATGTTGGTCTTGTTGTCACCGCAACTGTCACAGGAGGCCAAGTTTGACCAATCACAGACTGGAACCATGATTTTTAATCTATAACGAGAGTTGTGACGAAAACACAGACTGACAGGCTGATGTGTTGTCTACACGTTCACAGATTGTTTCTGCGGATTGAAAGTTTGAGAAGGTTTGTCATACAGATCTCCTCACTTGTTTCCATCAGCTTCCTTCAAGTGCAATTTAGAGAAGATACTAGAGGATAATCATCAGGATTCAAGGTTCCTCTCAGAACGTTCGATTCTGCCCTCTCTGGGAACAGATTGCTCTGAATTTCCTTGCGTATCGTAAGATATTCCAACAAATTTAATAAAAGCAGGAAATATTGTTGTGCCCGGTGGCACATTAACACATCGGCTCGTATAATTCACAAACCAGCAGTGTCAGTTACTGAATTATCAGACTCCATTTGGCGCCCTTGACAGATCGTTCCTCTAAACGGCTGGTCGCCTCCGGCGGCTTTTTCTAGCAATGGATATAAAAGATTTGACAGCGGTGAACGGGCATTAAATTTATACCGATCTTCTTGGTGAACCTTTCCCCAGACTCTCAACCCGCAGACGCACGGCTCTACATTGGGGCTGTTGGGTGGGATGGACTCTGTGAAAGATGCCATTAACATACTGTTTCCTTTTCAGCTTCTAACAGACGTATGTGTGTTCTGAATGTTAATATCACCTTTTCTCCTGGTGGACTCTCTCAGTTTCTTTGAGCTTAATGACTCTGTTCATCAATATGCAAACAGGATACTCTTTTTGAAGGTTCTTCTGGTTAAGGGGAGGGCGCCATGTTGATGCCATGGTTTGAGGAGGTTTCCCAAAGCGCACAGATCACAGTCCTTCCCCCCCCTAAGCAATGTTTGTCACACTAATTTGCCTCATCATGTGAATAACAATGATGTGCATTATGTGTTTAAACAGAACAATCTCTTCTGCACCCCATTTTCTTAGATTCATGCTCCATCTCAGGTGTTGATGCCACAGATGAAACTGTTTCACAATTCTGAGCTTAATCCTAATGAATACTTTACATCTTGTATAATTTTAACTTTTGACATTCTTTGACAAGCCAGTTCCGGAGAAAAACAGGCTTTTGTTATTCATGGTATGAGATTTCAAGGGACAGACTTATGGATAATTATCTTGAAAGATTTGGTCTGTGTTTTGGGGGGGAAAGTCTTATGGGACAGTAATTTGAAAATATCACCTTCGGTACCCCGGGGTGAGAGTGGGAAGTTTTGCATATAGATCCTCATCATTAGCGAGCTATCACCATGCCAACGGGGAGCGGGGATTATGAGCTTTATGAGCTCTGGGAAAACGTTCACTGAATGATGAATTCAAAACACTTTACCTACTTTGAAACATGGGCTGAAATTTGTTTATCACTATCCCAGAACAATCTTACACAGCTTTCTTTTTGTAATTTTTTTTTCATGCAAAAATCATGCGGCCAATTTGTTAATGTAAGTGACCTGTACTACGTGGTTTGCTCTCTTCTTAAACATGCAGTCAGTGAGTGGAGGTTAGCACAGCTAGCATTAGCACAGACGTAGAACTGTTTTTGTAGGATTGATCTGAATGTACATTCTAGCTTATGCACTGGATAGTTGGTTAGCACATACTTAACTTTAAATGTTTCTCTGTATTATTCTAACCCTGTAGTGTATACGACTAATTCTTTAGCATTAGCCTAGCTGTTTATAGTCTGATTTTAAATAGATGCTAACAAAACTAACTTTAGAACTAACCTCATTAAGTCTTAGTGCTAACCATTCTAATGATGGCTCTTCTCTCTCTCTTGTGCACTCGTTTGCTCAGGTTCCAACTAACACCGTGTTGCTTCTCTCTTTCATCCTAGGAGGTGAACTAGTGTTGCCAATTATAACTGTGGATTCCCTTGACCCACCGTCAATTGTGACACTTTACCCCGTTATTCCCCCGCCCCCGACCTATCGCCCCTTCCTCACCTTGCTCGAGACCACCAAAGAGTCTCTCCCCTTGCCCGGCCGGCCCCCCTGTCCGCTGGACCAGGAGGACTGTGAAGAGCCCATAGAGGTCTCGGCCTACGGCTCGGGCGAGATGACGGAGTCCGACGATGAGGATTACTATAAAAACTCCCCCCTTGTCACTGACCGGACTGTACTCCCCCCTCCCCCCGCAGCTGGGAACCCCCGAGGCGACCGGCCCTTCGCCCGTTTGCCCAACTCCCATCGGCCGCCACTCCCATTCACCCCCACAGCCCCCCGCCCGGCCCTTCCCCCGTTTGCCCAACCCCCATCGGCCGCCACTCCCATTCACCCCCACAGCCCCCCCAGTGCCCCGACTCAAACCTGGCATCAAAAGTGGCCCCAACATCCCTGCGGGTAAAATGAACACCCGTGACCAGGTGCTGCTGCCACCCGTACAGCCGTCGGGCGACCCTGAACACGGCGGGCGGCATCGACACATCCCAGGTATTACATATCCTCCCAATTTCCCTCATGTGCCCACTACAGACCCCTCGTCACCAGACCGAGGGCCTCCAGGAGCAGTGGAGGTGATCCGAGAGTCCAGTAGCACGACGGGCATGGTGGTGGGCATCGTAGCCGCGGCCGCTCTCTGCATCCTCATCCTGCTCTACGCCATGTACAAGTACCGCAACCGCGACGAAGGCTCCTACCAGGTGGACCAGAGCCGCAATTACATTAGCAATTCAGCCACGCAAAGCAACGGCACCCTAGTGAAGGAGAAGCAGCCCGGCGCAACCAAGACGGGCACAAAGAACAAGAAGAACAAAGACAAGGAGTATTATGTCTGAGCTCGGCCTCCGGAGGGACCGATGCGGAAGCGAGGGGGAGAAGGAGAGAGATAGGATGAGGAATGGAAAGGGAGGTCCAGGTATTTGTTGGCAGTTTACCGGTCACATTTAGAGTTCTGACATCAGTCTTCTTTAATTTCCTGTCTTGTCTAGCTGTTGGCCTCATTTCTAGCAAGACCTAAAAAGTTCAAAAGCGTCTAGGGTTTGGAAACAGCCCCTCCCTCATTTCCATTTTTGATAGCTAATCCCTATTACAAAAATAAACTCTCCAAACCTTTTGTATTGAAGAAAAGTGGATTTTTCCTCACATGTAATTTGACGCTCTAGTTTGTTCTTTGTAAATACTATGTGAGTCCTCAATATTCAGATCATCTCCTAACCTGATGTCGAAACCCCCGTGTACGCCAGGCTGCTTGTGCGATCCATTGTTGCTCCATCAGAGCATTGGATGCGGTTGAGAATCGTTTGGGAATGAGAGCAGTTCAGTTGGAACGGCTTGGCATAGGTGACATTTCAGGAACAGATGGTGCCGAAAACGTTTAGCAGTCACACTCCTCCGTAATACTGCCAAACCAGCTCTGTGTCAAATCCGTCTCCCTCTCTTTCTAAGTGCTTCACATTTCCATCCTCCGCTCCCATCATCCCTCTCTTTCTCTCTTTCCCCACACCCTTTCTTGGCTTGGTCTCTTTTTCTCCTTGTCCTTGGTGCTCAGGAGCAAATGCAACGTGATTCTGTTGTGTTTCCAGCATGTGGTATTCAAATTGAAAAGAGACAAAAACTGTTTCTATGGAGTCAAATAAATATATAGCTATATCTCAAACCGTTACAACTAGCAAAACATCTGTGGATGATCCCTTCAGCCGCCAGAACTCCCGGAGGCCCACGGTAACCCCACGTTCCAGCAAATATTCGTCATGTGTTTTTGGGGTTCCACTGGGCTCTGTCCTGGACCCGCTGAGGATCTTGGTTTCTGCTCCACATTCAAGAACCTGAAACCCCCAACAGCAAATAGATAATATTCATATACAGATATTTGAAAAGACAAAGGGACACAAGCGTCTGGAAGTCAAGACCAACATCACGTCAACAAACCATATCAGTGGAAACAGCAGAGCAGGATGCTAGGATGTCTTTTGTTTTGTTTTCTATGTATGTGTGCGTGCTTTCTTTTATATTTTGTCACGTCAAAGGGAAAAGACAATAATGTTCCAGTTAATGTACATTCCACGTAGGGAACGTGAACTCTCCTGCGTCTTTGACCACGTTCTCTCGGGAGGAAAGTAGGGATAAACTCATTTAATGGAACTCACAAGCGCATTTAATGGAACGGACTCTCTTGAAAGAAAGACGAAATGGCCTGTTACTTGGAAGATGTACATCTTGAACTCTAGTATTCTAATTTTCTCAACTCTATTAAAAGAACTAAACTCTGCATTGAAAAGAAAATGTTTAAAACAGTTTGTGAAATGTCTAAATATTTGAATCTCACCCCAGTGCTAAAAGAGATGTTTTTCCTAATTATCATCCCTAAGAAAAAGAAAGAAAGTGCAATGAAATGCAAAGATCTGTGAATCGTATTCCAAAAAGCAGATGCTCTTTTGAATATTAAAGAGCAAAATGTGATTTGGTTTACAAGAGAACATTTCCTTTACCAGGCGGGAGAGTATCTCCTTGTATCCATAAGACTTTGGTCATTGACTCCATCCTCCGTTTAAATCATGTTGCTCACTTTACCCAGCGTGTGGAGGGCTGTTCATTCTCCATACTCGCTCAACGAGGACCAGACTTCATCATCATTTGATTTCACTCTTCCATCTCTGTGTGTTTGCGTGAGCGTTTGTGCGCTTGTTTGTCTGTGTGAATGTGTTTCCATTCTTTCCGTTCCTGTTCAGGTTTGTCGGTTGCGTTTCTCCTCAGCTCCCTTGTTCTTTCTAAATGTTATTGTAGAGTGTTCCAGTGAGATGAATCTGCATACGTGTATATTAACAGAAGGGAATACAATTGGTTATATACTTCTTACACCTCGTGTCGTGTGCTTATTTCAGATTCACACTTTTCTTCCAGAATAATCTTCCTCACTTCAGCTCAACACAAACACTTTGAGAGTGTAAACTGGAGTGTATTTATGGTACAGTGTAACTCTGGACTTGTAAAAACACGTTTATGTGAGTGCCGGTAAGTCTTTGATTCTCATAATGCTACATGGTTTCTTATTCAACATTTAAAATAAAGCTGAAAACATTGTAATGATCAGAAAATGAAACCTTTGTTATCTTGAATTGGAGTCCTGATATGATTCCAATATCAGAATAAGACTGACGTTAATACATAGTAATAATAAAAAAAAAAGTACAGTAAAATTGCCAGATATAAATATGGTTAATTTATATTTTATTATAATGTATTATTCCTTATAATTGTTATTGGTATATCAATTCATTAATTACAGATGCCAATTAATATTAGTTTTATTTCCTATCACTGATCATTAATCACTATCCTACGGTCCACAGTGAATCGTCGGAGGGGCGTCATCCTGTCCTGCCTGGTTCTCATTGTTGGTCAGCATTCAAACTCAGAATCACCTCTCTGGCCACTGAATCGCATGCTAAGACTGTCAGTTCAGACAGTCACAAACAGTTCAACTTTTACAGCGTGATTTATATTGTATGGAAGCCCTGAACAGCAATGTGGAGAAAAAAAAAAGTCAAGGTGGAAGAAAATCGTCTTGGATCCTTCCTGAGCCCAAGTCTTACGAATTTGTTTTCTCTCTCTCTGAATGCTTTTTCTCTCTCTAAAAAGATTTTTCTCATTCCAGTTTTTTTTTCGGCAAAAATCATTTTCTCTCTCTCAAAAAAAAATTTTCTCTCTTCAATTTTTTTCCTCAATAGGCAACACAAAAGATGTAAACAAATGAAAGTCCTGAACCGAAACATGAAAAAAGATTTTGAGAAAAAAATGATTTTGGAGCAAGACGAACGTTTTTGGTTTTGGGGGAGAAAAAATTTCAGACCAAAAGAAAAAAAAAACTTAGGACTATGGTTCGGGAAGGACCTGAGGTGACACTGGTGTTATTTTTTATGTTCTGCACCTTGACTTCTTTTTTCACATTGTGGTTCAGGGCTTCCACAGTATTGTGTTTGTTTTGTGCTTCGTCTAGCTGTTGTTGAACGTGTCGTGCCATAAAACATTTTTCTCTCCAATTTTTTTCTCTTTAAAACATTTTCTCTCGCTCTCTCTGGATTATTTTGTCTTCAAAAAAACCTTTTCTCTCTGTATCACTCTCTCTAAATTTTATTTTCTTTCACATAAAACATTTTTCTCTCTCCAATTTTTTTTCTTTCTAGCATTTTCTTTCTGATTTTTTTCTCTTCAAAAACTTTCTCTCTCAGATTTTTTCTCTTCAAAAAAAAAAAAAAGTGAAATTGAAACTGAAATTGTATCTTTCAAAAACTTTTTTTCTCTTTCCATTTTTTTCTCTGCCAAACATTTTTCTGTCTCTCCAATTGTTTTTTTCTTTCAGAATGTTTTTCTGTCCCAAAGACATTTCTTTTACTCCGATTTTTTTTCTTCATTCAAATTTTTATTTTTCCTCTACCAAAACAATTTTTCCTCTCTCTCCATAAAACATGGCCAAGTAATGATGGGCAAAGAGTCTAGTGTCTGGTGCGTTTAGTTACAGTGACAGTGAATGATATATGTAACCTGAGTTTGTCTTCATTTTTATTTGCCAAACATTCTCCTAAATGTAACATTCAGATCATCAAAGAAAGTAGTGTAAGCAGTTGCTTAATGATTGCGGCACCTGGTGTCTGAGGTTGGTACTGCATGCGAGAAAATTAGGAGACAAAAAAATGTTGAGCAAGAAAAAAGTTTTTTGGTAGAGATAAAAATTGGAGAAAGAAAAAAGTTTTTTAGAGACAAAAATTTGGTAGGTTTCGGAGTAGGTGTGGGGTGGGGTTAGGATTAGGTGTAGCGACTTCAATAAGGGGGTAATAATTTGGTCGAAATTGGGCGCGTAACACTGGCATCTACAGCTACTAAAATACAATGAAATATGTGTTGCATGCAAACAAAATAAATTGTCAGCCATAAATTCAGGCATGTGTTTTCACCTGCTGTTAAATATGAATGATAAATAACCAATGCAAAAAAAAACAAAAAAAACAACAACAATCATTTCAGGACAAACGATGTGAGGATTGAAGATGTGAAAGATGGGAAGCGTTGAAAAGTGCAGATGTGTTTCAGAACAAACACACATAACTCTCCTCCAGTTTCCATAGAAACAGGCTTCTGTCCTTTGTGTGTGTGTTTGGGGTTTAACTGGTTCTCCAGTGATTTCTGCAAACAGACAGAAAAATAAAACGGACAGCTGAAACTGAAGATGAAAACAAGAATAATTGCCAGTGTTTGCCTTCTGACCGATGATTTATTCAATAATCGGGAGATTTAAGACCATTTATTTAATAAATATCACAATCCATAACGCTTGTAGTCCTGGAAACCACAGTTTGTCCCTGATATTTCCAGGTTTTCATGAACACTGTCTACTAGCAAACACATCTTCAGCAAAGAATGCTTTACAACAATAACAGCCTTACTGACACACACACGAAAATCACACAGAAACACACTCTCCATTCACTCAAACAGCTCATCTACAGAATACAAAATAAACTGTTTTGTGTTCAATAAGAAATAATTATGGCACAGAAATAGTAATTTACTTTTGTGCATGTGGCAGACCGTTTTATCCAAAATGATTAAAGGGGTCATATGATGCTGCTAAAAAATAACATTATGTTGTGTATTTGGTGTAATGAAATGTGTTTATGTGGTTTAAGGTAATGACTCTTAACTTTTATAAAGAATATCTCTTTGGATTTGAGACTTTAGTCTTTGCAACTTTACAGATCTTCTTTATGTACCAAGAGCTTGTAACACTCCAAAGAGAAAGGAAAACTTGAAATCGCATAATATGACCCCTTTAAATATGGAGCTGCGCGATAATAAAATTCACGTTTTCTTATGTATCCAACTATACTAAATATGCAACTTTAAATATGGAGCTGCGCGATAATAAAATTCAAGTTTTTTTATATATCCAACTATACTATATATTTAACTTTAAATATGGAGCTGCACGATAATAAAATTCACGTTTTCTTATATATCCAACTATACTATATATTCAACTTTAAATAGAGAGCTGCGCGATAATAAAGTTTACGTTTTCATATATATCCAGCTATACTATATATTTAACTTTAAATATGGAGCTGAGCGATAATAAAGTTTACGCTTTCTTATATATCCAACTATACTATATATTCAACTTTAAATATGGAGCTGCGCGATAATAAATTTCACGTTTTCTTATATATCCAACTATATTATATATTCAACTTTAAATATGGAGCTGCGTGATAATAAAGTTTGCGTTTTCTTATATATCCAACTATACTATATATTCAAATTTAAATAGAGTGCTGCACGATAATAAAGTTTACGGTTTCTTATATATCCAACTATACTATATATTCAACTTTAAATTCAACTTTAAATATGGAGCTGCACGATAATAAAATTCACGTTTTTATATATATCCAACTATACTATATATTCAACTTAAATATGGAGCTGCGCGATAAAATTCACGCTTTCTTATATATCCAACTATACTATATATTCAACTTTAAATATGGAGCTGCACGATAAAATTCACGCTTTCTTATATATCCAACTATACTATATATTCAACTTTAAATATGGAGCTGCGCGATAATAAAGTTAACATTTTCTTATATATCCAACTGTACTTTATATTTAACTTTAAATATGGAGCTGCGCGCTAATAAAATTTACGTTTTCTTATATATCCAACTTTAAATATGGAGCTGCGCGATAATAAAATTCACGTTTTCTTATATATCCAACTATACTTTATATTCAACTTTAAATATGGAGCTGCGCGATAATAAATTTATGTTTTATTATATATAGAACTATACTATATATTCAACTTTAAATATGGAGCTGCGCAATAACAAAGTTTACGTTTTATTATATATCCAACTATACTATATATTCAACTTTAAATATGGAGCTGCGCGATAATAAAGTTCACGTTTTCTTGTATATCCAACTACATTATATATTCAACATTAAATATGGAGCTGTGCGATAATAAAATTCACGTTTTCTTATATATCCAGCTATACTATATATTCAACTTTAAATATGGAGCTGCGTGATAATAAAATTCACACTTTCTTATATGTCCAACTATACTATATATTCAACTTTAAATAGAGCTGCACAATAATAAAGTTTACGTTTTCTTATATATCCAACTATACTATATATTCAACTTTAAATATGGAGCTGCGCGATAATAAAATTTACGGTTTCTTATATATCCATCTATACTATATATTCAACTTTAAATATGGAGCTGCGCGATAAAATTCACGCTTTCTTATATGTCCAACTATACTATTTATTCAACTTTAAATATGGAGCTGCACGATAATAAAGTTCACATTTTTTTATATATCCAGCTATACTATATATTCAACTTTAAATATGGAGCTGCGTGATAATAAAATTCACACTTTCTTATATGTCCAACTATACTATATATTCAAATTTAAATAGAGCTGCACAATAATAAAGTTTGTTTTCTTATATATCCAACTATACTATATATTCAACATTAAATATGGAGCTGCGCAATAATAATATTAACGTTTTCTTATATATGTACCTATACTATATATTCAACTTTAAATATGGAGCTGCACGATAATAAAATTCACATTTTCTTATATATCCAACTATACTACATATTCAACTTTAAATAGAGAACTGCGCGATAATAAAACTTACGTTTTCTTATATATCCAACTATACTATATATTTAACTTAAATAATAGAGCTGTGCGCTAATAAAGTTTACGTTTTCTTATATATTCAACTATACTATATATTTAGCGACGTGACATGTGGCCAAGTATGGTTACCCATACTAGGAATTAGTGCTCTGCATTTAACCCATCCTAAGTGCACACACACACAGCAGTGAA